CCCAACCGTCCCGCGCGAAAAACGATTCATTTATTCGGTTATTCGGATTTTTATAGAAACAGGTACCTAGTTATTCGGTTTTTTGAAAAGCGAATAATGCCCAGGCCTACTCAGCACTGCACTCAATCAGCAGTCAGTCACTGACCTTTGACCCCCACAGACAAATGTAGTATGTAGCAAACCGAACGTTCAGTAAACCAAAAGTTAAAATAAATAAAAAGTATGCCTATCCTTGGCAGGCATCGAAAACAATGCCAAGAAGCGTTCGAATCAACTGCCGCGAGTACGTTTTTTTCCTACAAGCAAGAAACATATTCAGTCATTCTTTATGTTCAAGTTCACTTATAACTCCTAGTTGCGATTTTCGTTATGGAATCTCCAATTGGGTCCGGTGTAACAGAAGTATGTCCAGCTGTTGTACTGGACTAAGCTTTTCCCTCTGTCTGCAATATTGTATACAACAACAACAGGCAAGTTTGATGGAAAGAGAGGCAGAGGCAGACAGAAGGAAAAGATACTGGACAAGATGACAACATGGCTGGGAGCAGCAAAAACAACGACACCATTGCCGCAACGCAAGACAGAGTGAAGTGGAAGTCCATGATCGCCCCTGCCAGTCGGCAAGGCACCGGATGATAATGAACCACAGAATTCTACACTTAGTGTAGAATTCTGTGTCATGAACAGAAGATGCATCTATAAATTGCAAGATCTCTTAAGGTGCCTGGCAGTGCCACAAGCCACAAATGCTTGTAATTACGCACATTATAGATTCTATACATGAAATGTAGACAAAGAGCCAATTTTAAAAACATGTCATTGTTTTACTTCTCATGGCCCATGGTGTTTTGATGTGACACAAACAAATCCCGCTGTGGGCGCCAGGTACAGTATAGTAGGATCCACGCCAAATTAGATCAAACTGACAGGCAGTCTCTTTTCCCCCCTTTTAATTATGTTCTTTTTAGTTTGGTTTATAGCTGCTTTACCTTGTAGTGAACAGAAGGGCCTCAAAGTCAAAGTCTTCGTTTCTCTAGAACTGATGCGCGCTGGGATCGGGGAAAAAAGCAAAACTTCCAATTTTGCCTACCACTTGTGGTGAATCTGCTCTTGCATGAACGTCAACGTAGTTTTGCGTTTAACCAGAAAGCTTTTCCTTACTTTATTATTATAAGCTCTCTGGTACCATTGAGAGAGTTGCCAGGTTGGAAAAAATGTCTTATAAGTAGGCCCTACTACGTAATTTGTTGCTATCTGTCCGTCAAGGAGGTTAAACAAGCATAGTGTTGAAACGAGCGTCATTGATTCTATACAAATTAACTAATTTTGCTACAGGATGAGAAAAATACAGAGAAACCTGACCCCGCCGTTTTATGCGAGAAAAATTCTGAAATTATGCAAACTGGGCCCAAAAATGTGAAATTATGCGATGGGGACAGAGAAACAGAAATAAAACCATTAGGTCTCTCCGGAGGAGACGAAGTTATTTCAACATATTTACGTATTGGGTGTGCCTCCCTGGCACATAGATCTAGCTAGATTCTACCTCCTGCAAGGAGATGAGGAAAAAAACATTTTGTATTGGATGCAGTACCGACCCTACCATCAGATACATCCTACAAGAATATTCAGACTTCTGACAGACCCGATAGAAATATGTTACTTTGGAGAATTTGTTCTACTCCCTTGATCCAAACAGAATTGTCAGTTTTCTAAAGACCATTGGTCTTTTTTACTCCAAAATGTAGTATATCTAGAATCTAGTTCTGTTTTAAAATTGTGAATGACTGCTACAACTATTGAAGTTTTACTATTAATTTTTAGCTCTAAAGTTGGAGTGAAACCAAAGTTAGAGTTAGAGTGAAACCAAAGTTAGAGGAAAACAAAAGTTAGAGAAAACCAGAGTTAGAGAAAACCAGAGTTAGAGAAAACCAGAGTTAGAGGAAAACCAGAGTTTGAGAAAACCAGGGTTAGAGAAAACCAGAGTTAGAGGAAAACCAGAGTTAGAGGCAAACCAAAGTCAGAGGAAAACCAAAGTTAGAGTGAAACCAAGCCATGCCGTGAACTAACAAGAGAACAACCAACTTGTCCATAGTGCCCCCAAGAACCTTACGCAGCTGCAAGCGCTTTAAAACTCATACCAAATTGAACTGAAACCCAACACTTCATTTTCATACAGACTTCAACATAAGTGAAGGACCACCTTCACAGACAGCCCTGATTATTCAAAAATCCGAAAAAAAGACAGCAAGGAATGTTTCCAAATTATTTCCTCTAAAAAAGTTAGCGGGTCACCAATGTGTACTGCAAGGCTTCCTAAAGGGGCAAAACCATCACGTGCAGCCCGGAAATCCTCGGGGAATTTTAGCCAAATCTGCTGTTTTTGATAGACTTGTGTGCGACACCACGGACATTCCTCAGTTAAAATTTCGGGTGCACGTCATCAACAAACTACAGTCTCGAACTGTGTGCACTTTGGTGGCAATATAAGCCGCCGTTTGCGCAAAATCCAGTATCGCATCAATATGCCACCAAGACGAAGGCTGAGACAAGTTGCCAGAAGGCTTGCTGTGTCACAGTCACACTCTGTCATTGTCTGCCTGAGGCAGCGCCATCAAGCCACTGGATCAGTCCAAAAAAGCCCACGTGCAGGTCGACCCAAGAAGATCACTCAGAGTGTTTGCAAGTGGTCTTTAACTTATGTTGAAGTCTGTATTGATTTTTTAAGATATTTAACCTATATACATTTAAGAGCTTTTCAGTCTGAACATGTTGATACCAAATTTATTGCAACAGGATGATATTTAAGTAAACTGTGGCGTGATGTTTACAATTTGTGTCACGACGCAGTAGAATCAGGCGCTCGTCAATTTTTGGACATCGGGAGTTATTGGTATTATCATTCGACCATCTTGTGATGAAAAAAATACACGCCTGTCTTGAATAGAAGTCGAGATATTCGCAATCCAAGGAGGTCAGGGTCGCCTGGTTTCAGAGATAAAATTAGCGAGAAAATAGTCCCCAAAGTTTGGTTACTTCCATAGTTTGAGAGTCCTTGGAAACTGAACATTTACATTTGTTGTGCCTTTAATCAACGCATTTCAGTAAAATTCACACAGAATGAGGTTTTTAAAAAGTTTAAAAGGTGTTCAGCAAAAAAACTAAAATTCGATAAAAATTGTCAAACTGGAGGAAAAATGCCCGATATCTTTGATTTTATTATTTTCACGAGCGCTTGATTTCCCCAAGATGTCTCACATTTATGATATTATTTTTGTGGAAAACGTACAATATATGAAAAAAACCACTCCATTTTTCAGAGACAGCTCACACATAAAAGAACTTTGCAATACCAGCCAAACTTCTTCAGTCGAAAGTCATTAGTGCATTGCATATAATATATTACAGTCATTTTTCCAAAAAAAAGTTTTAAAAAGTCATTTAATGATTCAAAATGAACTAAATATGGCATCAAAACTGGCCCAGAAGCCAATTTCACATAATTGCCTCGGGAAGGCAAAAACGACAAAATGTCATCAGCTTGAAATGTCACAAAAATTCACCTGTGATGCATAGATTCACATTGCATACATCAAATTAAAGACAAAGAAGAGCTCTTTTGCATGACATTAATAAATTATCATAATAAACATCGCTGTGTATGCAATTCTTCGGACTTCAAAATATGCATACACGGATAAAATCTTTTTTTAAAAGACATTTTTTATTTGAAAAAAAAAATTACCCATTGCTGTTAGACACACAATGAGAAAAAGGAAACCCTTTTTATGTAAAATGAAAAAGAGCAGAACATACGATAATGCATTCAGTCTTCAGCGTCGGTGGTGTATCAGTCTGTCAGGCACTTCGCTATCGCACACAAGAGACCCAAGTTCAATTCCCGAGTGGGGAGATATTTTCATTGAGTATCTCAGTCAGTCTGTTGGAATGCTGTATCTCTCTCAGCCCGTTGTGAGCGTGGTAAGACTTGTATCAAACAAACCTCTCAGCCTATTGAGAGCGTGGTAAGACTTGTATCAAACAAACCTCTCAGCCTATTGAGAGCGTGGTAAGACTTGTATCAAACCAACCTCTCAGCCAGCTCAGGTTTGGCGGTGACAGACAGGGTCAGAATCCCGCCTCCCCTAAAAGATCTCAATTGCGTCAACAGGGTGTAAGTAAAAAAAAAGAAATTTTTAAAGAAAAAAATCATAAAATTCCAAATACCCATACATAGATCTACTATTTTACGTAGCCAACACAGCGGCATGACGCTCACTTGACAATTCTCATTTAGCTTTTGCTCGGAAGATGAGAGAAGTTCCAAGCTTCGTCGCAATAATCAGCGCAAACTAATCCTTACACTGTACACTGTGCAAATATTCTTAAAAAGAAAAATAGATAAAAAGCTTTTTCAGCCATATCTTTATTAATTCAAATATTTTAATAATATCAGTTTTTTTTAAACTTTCATAGTTTATAATTTCAATTTTCCTGTTCAGTTCCCACATGAGGAGATTTTTTCATCTTATGTATCCCCATCTTATGGTGAGATGTTGTATCCCCATCTTATGGTGAGATGTTGTATCCCCATCTTATGGTGAGATGTTGTATCCCTCTCAGCCCGGGTTGGCCCTAACACTGACAGGCAGGGTTCAATTAAAGCAGCCCATCTCGTATAGGATCTGAATTGTGCCAATAAAATAAGGGTGTAACACATCAGTAATTTCATTCTTTCTGGGTCATTTTTCAACATTTAAATCAAAAGGGTTTTTCTTTTTTAAAGCGTGAACAAATTTTCCAGAAACCAATTACATGGATAGAGCATAGCAACACCAAAGAGCGCCTCAAGAAACATTTCCACTTTTTGTCTGTTAACTGTGGGTGTTTTTACATACCTACATACATAATTTAGATCAAAATATTTCAACAACCACAGATGTCCAGCACTCCACTTGGTAACAACAGTAACTATCATCAAGATAATAGTAATAGCAACAGTAATGAGGATAATGACAATGATGAAAAAACTGCCTTTAGAAACAATACTTTGTTTGTTTATTTCATGTGTCTGACTCTTGAGTAAATAGCACAAAAAAACAACAGCAATGGTAGGGCCTACATCTTTTGAAAAGTAAACAATATAATATCAATGATAACATATATTTATATATATATTGATTTTAAAATTGGAGACAAAGTTTTGCGTCACATGTCACAGGGGAAAGTATTCACCTCCTCACGTTGATCCCCAAACTCTCAGTCTCAGTAAATGCTTCATACCATATAATCTTCTTTGGACTGGAAAAAAATAATTTATCCTCTTGACTAGCAGAAAAAGCCTTTGTTTGATTTCTGTGTGAAAGTTGTATTTAATTTAATATAGGCCTACTACTACTACTACTATAGATGGGCAGCTTTTGACCTCGGCTCATCTCTAGTCTGTAGGAGGGGCAATGGAGAGGCCACAGCCAAATGAACAATAATCTTCACAGTATAATGCCCAGCTTGGGTTTATGAAACGAAGTTATTTGAACAAATTTACCTAATAGTAAGAGACCTAACTCCAGGGCACGTAACTACATCCAGCAGGGAGAAGAAAAAACACCTTTTCTTTGTAGGATGCAATACTGACCTTAATTTACTCCAAAATGTAAAAACTGTATTATCTTTTAAATAATAATAATAATAATAGATAGCATTTGTATAGCGCAAATCCCCGCTCAACAGCAGGCTCTATGCGCTTTACACTATATTATTACCCCAGTAGACCATAGAACACTCCGAAACATTCTCAGCTTCCCGGGAAGCATACAGTGCAAGCAGCTGATTAAGCGCTCAAACACTAACATACTGACAAGATCTTTCGCTGTCTATAGCCGGGTACCCATTCCCACCTGGGTGAAGTGAGGAAAATTCGTGTAAAGTGCCTTTCCCAAGGACACAACGTCGGGTCCCTGACGGGATTCGAACCCACGACCTTACGGTTGCGAGTCCGAGAGCCTAACCACTAGGCCACCGACGCCATAAATGGAAATTGCTGCTTTTAAAACTGAAGTTTTACTATGCATTTTTAGGTAGGCCTACTTCAACTTTCGTACTTGCAAAGTAAAACCAAGTTGTACCGTGAACTAAGTAGAAAACAACCAACTTGCGTCTCGTGCGCTCTCACATAATCTTATGAGGCTGTAAGCACAGTCCGGAGCTACCATTATTGACAGTACATGAATACATAGCAGTGACGTCAGGATGGAAGCAGTCCTAAGCTAACATTACTGACAGTACATGAATACATAGCAGTGACGTCAGGATGGAAGCAGTCCTAAGCTAACATTACTGACAGTACATGAATACATAGCAGTGACGTCAGGATGGAAGCATAGACGGGCACAGACCTACACCAGCATTGCAGGCCTCAAGTAATTCTTTGAGCATTAAACAATCAACATTTTATTTTTTAAATTTTTTTTTTTATTCATTCTGTATTCCGTACACATAAAAGCTCCATTTGCGAATAGGAAAGGTCAACAAGTCTACCTCGCTCTTTGTCTCCTTCACCACTACACAGGCACCAGGTAAAAGTTGCTTGTTATAGTGGCCACACACACACACACACACACACACACACACACACACACACACACACACACACACACAGACACACACACACACACACACACATACATACACACACACACACACAGAGCTGCTGTATAAAGTTACAAATCTTCCATATCTTCGTAGAGTCCAGGGAAGAAGTAAAACGACTTGGTCAGCGTTCCTCTCTTTTCCCCGACCTGTTTGTAGCTGCCTCGTTTTGTCGCTGCTTTTGTCACCAGCTGATTCACCTGGCGGAAAGAGAAGGAAAAAAAAATAAATAAAAACAGTACAGCATTCTGTGCTTGTCCTTGTTTTGTTTTAGTAAATGTTTTCCATCACTTGCAACACAGTTTTGTTTTAGTAAATGTTTTCCATCACTTGTAACACAACTGAAGACATGAGAACAAGACGGCTGTGCCTCTGACAGCTTTTCCTGTCAGGAGAACGTCGGTAAAAACCACGGACTTCAGTCTAGAATAGGACGCTACTTTTGTTGTAAGGACAAGCGGCTAACCCAGATGTCGCGAGTTTCTACTTCAGTCTAGAATAGGACGCTACTTTTGTTGTAAGGACAAGCGGGCTAACCCAGATGTCGGGAGTTTCTACTTCAGTCTAGAATAGGACGCTACTTTTGTTGTAAGGACAAGCGGGCTAACCCAGATGTCGGGAGTTTCTACTTCAGTCTAGAATAGGACGCTACTTTTGTTGTAAGGACAAGCGGCTAACCCAGATGTCGGGAGTTTCTACTTCAGTCTAGAATAGGACGCTACTTTTGTTGTAAGGACAAGCGGGCTAACCCAGATGTCGCGAGTTTCTACTTCAGTCTAGAATAGGACGCTACTTTTGTTGTAAGGACAAGCGGGCTAACCCGGATGTCGGGAGTTTCTACTTCAGTCTAGAATAGGACGCTACTTTTGTTGTAAGGACAAGCGGGCTAACCCAGATGTCGGGAGTTTCTACTTCAGTCTAGAATAGGACGCTACTTTTGTTGTAAGGACAAGCGGGCTAACCCAGATGTCGCGAGTTTCCACAAATCTTGATCAACACCAAAAGCGGGCATTGCCGTACCTATAGGAGAAGCTTGGTTTCTGTGGTGTTTTGTTTGGTTATAGAGAAAACTCTCCTTGTCTTTTAAAGAAACTGAACAAGAGGTAAAAACTTTAACTTCGATTCTCTCAAAACAGCATTTTTCGGGATAGCCCCCTTGTGCTTAAAAGCGACCAATTATTTGCCTTGGTACACGCTGTAGCTTTTTCCCTTTTTCTCGCCACACAGCTGTCCCCGTCGTTTTATGCCAGAAAAATTCTGAAATTTTACGCAAACTGGGCCCAAAAATGTGAGATTATGCGATTCTGTTAATTTTAACAAAGAACGATAAAGGAAAATAATTAGAAATTATGCAAAAAATGATCAAATTTTGCTAAATTAAGCGGGGTGCATAAAACGACGGGGACAGACACAGTTAACGGTAGAGTGTCATGTGCACTCTCAAGAGATGTGGGAAAGTCTTGTTCTCTATTTACAGATACCAAGAACTCACTTTTTGCCATTTTGGACTTAGGCAGTCTTGTTCAGTCTTCAATTAGGTCACACATAGAGGCCGAAGATGAGAGGTGTCTCTTAGAGTTTTACGGCACTTGCAAAACAATAAGGTCATTTAAGAGCTGAAGATTAGAGGTGTTACAAGAGTGTAACAAACATAAAAAGGAAGGAGGAGAGATAAGGACACTAGATGTTTGATAGGAAAGAAGGCGTAAACCACACCAGAGCACCTGCCAACCACCCACTGTCCGTGTCAATCCATCCATACTTTGTTGACGGTCAATAAAAATATCCTAAATAGTGTTAAAAAGGGCGTTAAAACTATACAGTCGACTACGCTTGTAGCGATGTCGTTGGGGGACCAGAAAAAAAATGGCTACATCCGAAGTTCGTAACATCCGTTGGAAGAAAAATTCAAAGGAAATAATCCCAGTACTCAAACTCACTGTAGATTAAATATTGAGCTTTGGCGCTTATCGTGTAAGATTATCAAAATAGCATCATAAGGGAGATTGCTCGTTAAGTGTCTGATGCCTCCTACTACTGTGTAAAGGTGTGTAACGTTGCAAAACATCATCGGGTTCATCAATGCTAGGTCAAAACTAACCACGGGGGAAACATCGTTAAAACTGTTATATTTTTACTATAAACTATATGGGCCGGGGATAAGATTACACATCACTAGAGCCGTCACAACAGATGTAGCGGATTCAGCACAACTGTTTCAATTGTATTGAGTTTGTGTCACATCGGTGCCCGGTCCACGGAGAAAGGTCGCTACGTCCGCAGATCTTTACAACCGACATCGCTGCAAGTGGAGTGGACTGTACAGAGGTCCCGCCTCTTACAATAACCTAAACAGTGTTGATAGGGGTGTTTATAGTGTTAAACCGTACACCCTTTTTCTGTTACCTTGGTCATGAGCTGATCCAGCTCCAGCTTGTAGGCCCACTTGGCAAACACCTCCACAAGGGCCTGGATGAACCACGTGCCAAAGTCGGGCCGTCGCCACGACAGGAAGTCTGGCCAGAACACAACAGAAACTGGGTGAGTTGGGGTTTTTTGTAGGTCACAACTACAACAGGCTAATTTAGTAGTTTACAATGTAGGTCACAATAACAACAGGCTAACTTAGTAGTTTACAATGTACGTCACAATAACAACAGGCTAATTTAGTAGTTTACAATGTAGGTCACAATAACAACAGGCTAACTTAGTAGTTTACAATGTACGTCACAATAACAACAGGCTAACTTAGTAGTTTACAATGTACGTCACAATAACAACAGGCTAATTTAGTAGTTTACAATGTACGTCACAATAACAACAGGCTAATTTAGTAGTTTACAATGTACGTCACAATAACAACAGGCTAATCTAGTAGTTTACAATGTAGGTCACAACAACAGCATTAACAACAACAAGATAATTTATTTTAGAATAAAAGCAATAACATTAACAACAACAATAGCATCAACAACAACAGGCTAAATTAGTAGAATCTAGTTTACAATGTAGGTCACAACTACAGCATTAACAACAACAATAGCAACAACAACAACAAGATAATTTATTTTAGAATGTAGGTCACAACAACAGCAATAACTACAGCAACAGCAACAACAGGCTTATCTTTTTACACAGGTCACAACAATAACAATAACAACAACATCACCTACCATTTTAAAAAACAAAAAGCCCTTAGCTAATGTCCTATCTTGGGGAGAGTGAACGACAGCGAGCACACATGTACTTGTGCAAAACCACCGATGTCATTATTGTCATGGCACATGTGTGTGCGTGTGTGTGTGTGTGTGTGCATAAGGATGAACATGTATGCGAGCAACATATGTGTGTGTGTGAGTCTGTGAGTGTGTGTTTGTGTGTATGAGTGTATGTATGTATGTATATATATATATATATATATATATGTATGTGTATGTGTGCATGTGTGCGCCAACCCAAAACCCACAAAAGAAGACCACAAAAACACGCTCCTACCTGGCGGCGTTGCCATGCCGATAAAGACATCACCAGCCCCCGGCAGCTTCTCCCCGGCCGCATCACCTTCCTCCTCAGACAAGAAATCCAGCGGGCTCTCTCCCCCCTCCCCTTCAGCCTGTGTGCCCCCCACCGCCCCTTCAGCCTCTGGGTCCCGCCCCTCATCATCACAGGAATCCACGGCGTCTTTCCCCGGGCCTGAAGTCTTGCCCGCTGTCGAAGCCCCGGTGACCTTGGGGGTAGGCGGGCCGGACTTCTCCCCCGCTTGACCAGCAGCACTGTCCTGCTGAGTGTCCAGCCCACTGGACGGTCCGGTCGGACCAGGTGAGGGTGCCGGTTTCCCCGGGCTGGGTTTGTCGTCTTTCCCCGGACTGTCCCCACTCTCAGTCTCTGCAGCTTGGCCCGGTGCAACACCCGAGTCCTTAGCATCTGTCAGAGTTTTTTTTTTTTTTGGGGGGGGGGGGTTGTTTTAATAAAAGTTTTACGGCACTTGCAACACAACTAGGTCATATACGTGCCGAAGATTAGAAGAGTTACAAGAGAGAAACAACGGCAAAAAAAAGATGGAGGTGAGACAAGGACGACAAATGATTGATAAAAGTATTAAAAGCATATAAAAAACAGTAACAGTAAAGGAAATATCACAGACAACCCCCCCTAAAGACACTTCAGTGAGTAGCACAGCCCTGAGGGGGGGGGGAGCAGCTGAACAGTCTGGCATGCTTGCGGCCCGTCAATGTTGAACATTTTTGTGATAAACTTATTGACCACAACATCCCATGAAGATTTAGCCGCAAGCACTGGACAATTTCATATTCAGGAATTTAAAAATTGCACATATCGGTGCCAAGTTTGACAGTAGTGGTTTACTGCTTGGCTTGCAAGGGATCGTTTGGCACAAGTCTAGTCTCGCGGATAAACACGTGTTCTCACAAAACGTAGACACCAAAATGACTTAAAAAGTCACCTTCACCTTTTGACCTAGATTTGCCAGGGTTTTTTCTTCGAAATTATGGACAAGATGGGGAAAATAGGGAGTGAGGAAAGTGAGGAACGTCAAACCTTCAGGTCCGAGATCTCAATGGAACTGATTGTCGCAAGTGGGCTAGATACACAGTGAGTCCACTACCACTGGGGCATGAGGCTACAGTCACTAGATACACTACACTACCACTGAGACATGAGGCTACAGTCACTAGATACACTACACTACCACTGAGACATGAGGCTACAGTCACTACATACACTACACTACCACTGAGACATGAGGCTACAGTCACTACATACACTACACTACAACTGAGACATGAGGCTACTTTCCTAGCGAATAAGCTTAGCTGAGATTCAGTGTTGACAGAAGGATCGAACACCCCCTGGCAACAAAGGGGTAAAGCAATACTTAGCAAGAAAGAGGGTCCCAGAAAGTGATGATCTAAAATAGAAGTTATTGCACAGCTCCAAAATGGGCCTCATTGTCTTGACCAGAATTTGTCAAGGTGGAGACATTCTCTGATGAGCCAATGGACAAAATGTGCGACCTTCATGAGGACCGAGGAAAGGAATAATTACATGATGCCACTACACAATGTAGGCTACAAGTTTCATCGAAATTCATTATCGATCATTCGTTTGTCTAGCGGCCATCTTACTTTTACTTTTCGGACAGCCCTCCTACATTGATCAAGCTACGGTGGTCGAACACCTGAACATGCACAGGAAAATCCAACTTCTGTTTAAAAAAAAAAGTCCAAGCCAACAGAAAGCCTTCCTCAAATTGCAGATATCCTTTTGTTTCAGTAAGAGTTTTACGGCACTTGCAACACAATAAGGTCATATAAGTGCCGAAGATTAGAGGTGTTACAAGAGAGTAACATACACAAAAAAGAAGTAGGAGAGATAAGGACGATATATGTTTGATAGGAAAGAAGGAACAAACCACACCAGAGCACCCGCCAACCACCCACAGACATCGGTAAACGTAACAAGGTGAGAGACACGCCGGCGACAACAACTCACTTCCTTGACAGGCTTGCACAAAGAAGAGCTTCGGCTTGCCGTACAGACTGGGCGCCTGGCGAAACAGCTTGGTGATTTTCTCGATCTCCACACAGTTGAGCGGCTTGCCGTTCTCGATCTTGCCGTCGGTTCCGAACACGACCCCCTTGTGCCCGTGGCTCAGCAGTATGACGACCACGCAGTCGTGGCAGCTGTAGTCCTTCCTGGCCTCCTCCTCCAGCACCTCCAACAGCACCTGGCCACAACACAACAACCTCACAGTCACTTCCGTTTCAGTACTGTACCAGTTTTTACAGCACTTGTGACACGAATAGGTTATAGAAGTGCCGAGGATTACACATGTTACAAGAGAGTAACATATACACCCAAAAAAAAATAGGAGAGATAAGGTCGATAGATGTTGAATAGGAAAGAAGAGCAAACCACACCAGAGCACCCGCCAACCACCTACCCATCAAAGTCAACATTCGCAGTTAACTCCTTCAATGCTGTAGGTATATAGGCAACTGTGCTGTGGGAAATCCCAGGAACCAAGGCTGCTCAGGGGTGACCCCACTCTACCTCCCATAACTTTTTAATTTACGAATATTTCCTCATGACTTTCTGCATGTACACTCTACACTGAACCAAGTTTCTATCGATATAATTTTTAGGGAATTCCATTGAGAGATAGAGGGAGTTGGAGTTTGTAACATGATGCCAAAAAAACCAAACACCATCAAACAACATAAACAACAGACATTTGATTGATGATAAACTGAGACCTAACAAAGGGGACTACATGTTGTGTGAGTGTCTGCAGACACAGAGGAAGTGACAAGAGGCTTTTCCTACCTCATAAAACACTCACACAATCCATGTACAGTCAAACCGGTGTAAGACGGCCACACATTGTCAAGGAGAAAAGTGGCCGTATAAGACAGGTGGCCGTCTTAGGCAGGACTGATCAAGATAAAGGAAACAAACCATTCCTTTCTGAGGTCCCAATCGAAAGTAGCCCCATTGTTGTTGTCTTTGTTGGTGTTGTTGTTGTTGGTTTGTATTTCGTTTGTAATTTTTATTTTGTCGCTGATTTTGCACAAGGGTGACAATAAAACGAAATGTATCAGACAAGGAAGACCGAGTGCCATGTTAAAACAAACACATGGGTCGTCACCACTTGGAGAACGAGCGACACTTCTGTAACAAGTTCATGTTGACATCCTTTGTTACTTTATTACAGACTGGGTAAACAGTAACCACTCATCTCACTTACGATTTGTGTATGAGTTCTGGGTGGGGCTTATGGGTTATGAGGGATCACACGCTTACCTCACCAGCAGCTGAAAATTGGTAGCTATTGGTCAACAGTGGGAGGGGCCTACGCAACATGATCGGTTGGAGGGACTACCTAACAACAACGACAGGTGATTGAATTATGACGGCTCGCCCACAACGCCAGGGGCCAGTGCACAATTTATGACAAAACGTAATGGATTCACTAAGGTGACCGTCTTAGACAAGTGTTATTGCTTAGTGTGATAGGGGTTGTGTGTTAAATTATGGTGGCCGCGGCCGCGTTGGACAGGTGCCTGTTTTACACAGTTAAATTATATAGAAAAAACGCAAGGGGGAAATGGAAAGTGGCCGTCTTATAGAGGTGGCCGTCAGGGCAGGTTCGACTGTATATATATATAATTATATATATATAATTATATATATATATATATATAATTTTATATATATATATATATATATATATATATATATATATATATATATATATATATATATATGCCTATCTGTGTGTTAATTGCCAGAAAAACATTTTTGCGCGGTAGATGTGTTAGCTCTAGATCTACTCTTCTCTTGGAGCTAAAATCTGAATCTGACGCTTTCAAATGGGGGGGAAATGGAGGTAAAAATAAAGGGAAGGTAATTAATAATTACAAGATTTTAGCAGTAACCTCCCTTATAATTGGTATCAAAACAACCTCTGTCACAGTCCCGTAAATTCTACGGGCCATAGGCACAGCGCTATACGGTTCAGGTCCGTAAATTCTACGGGTGCGGAAGCGAAGACGTTAAGACAAAAATAATAATAATAAATAGCATTTGTATAGCGCATATCCCCGCTCAACAGCAGGCTCTATGCGCAGTTTTTTGCGTTTTTTTTGCATTTTTTTAGCTAGTGCTATCGTGATTTGCTCAAGGACACACCCCATTGAACACCCATCTAAATCACGTGTCATTGACACTTTTTTTTTTGGGGGGGGGGGGGGGTTACGATGTTCTAGTTTAGTTTTAGTAAGGTTTTACAGCGCTCGCAAAACCTTACTAAAACTAAACTAGAACGCCTTAAAATCCCCCCCCAAAAAATTTTTAAAATAAAAGGGTCAATGACATGTGATTCAGGTTTTGCGGCGTTTGCAACAGCATAATGTCATATGAGCGTGCGAGACACATTCAACATTTTCAGTGGGTGGCAGCCGAAGCCTACTGTCATCAATTTTGGACCACCAAGGAACCTTTAACTTGTGCAACTTGCACACGGGACCTCCCAGAGTTTCCGCCCCTATCTAAGAAGGCTAGGTGTTAGATCTTACCTACCATAAGATCAGGGGTGTGGCTGAAAGTAGGTACCAGAAACTAAATTTTCAAAGTAGCTGTATGCCAAATGTATCTGTTCCATTTGAAAGGCCTATATCCACTGAGCATTTTGGTACCATTCTTTAACCTCTCCGTCAATTTTCGAGAAAGTGGTAGTTGTTTAAAATTTGATCAAATTTGTCAAAGTCAGTCACTGGCTGCAACCCCATGTTTGACAGACAATTAAAGAGTACCAAGTGCACTAAACATCTCCACATTAACAGAGTACAATCACTATAACAAATATATGGAGCCTAATTTTTTTCAAGACTGTGAGATCTTTACAAATCAGTATTTTATTGCCTCAAACACGATGATCTGTCGTTATTTCGACAAAAACACCGAGCGTTGACCCGACCGGCGCCGCACCGGCCCCCGCGGCTCTATATTGTAGTGTACCCCGCTTGGGGGGTCACATGCTTTCTGAGTCTCGCGGAAGGATTGATGCAAAATAATTCCAAGCTAATTACTTTATTCTAATAGGAAATGAACTGGTCTTTCAATTATTACCTTTTTTAGCCGGTATTTTACATATTTTGTGTGGACAATTATCTTTGAAAATTTTGACAGTATTTTAAAAAGTTTTCTATTTAAACGCCAAAGGCCAAAATAATACCACGGGAAAGCCCGTTTAAAGCTCTACAGTTCTCCGCCAATGAGAAGACAGTATTTAATCATCCCTCGTTCCGCAAAGCATTTGAATGCAAGCGTGTCAATTTTTAAACCGGCCGACCAAACATTCCGACCGCGAGGGGCTTTGCTTTCCTCTGCGATTTTCCAGCTCCTAATAATCGGACATATAAACAACTTACACCATTGTAACGAGGAAAAGCTGAACTTTTACAAGGTGTACGGCACTTGGTGTTTTATAGCAAAAGAGCAAAGAAACAGCGATCTGAATCACCCCGATTTCACCGATACCACGCGGTCGGAAGGCCACGAGTGCCCGCGAGGCCGTGTTTACGCTACCTACTGAAAGACAGCAGTAAGAAGAAGCGAAGGAGTAGCAGTAGACAGGCTGCAGAAAGAGTCAGGAGCCCAGAGGAAGGGACAAAGGAGGTGAGGGGGTAGGGGTAGAAAGTGGAGACGAAAGAAGACGACAGAACATTGTTAGAGAGCAGGAAAGGAAGTGAAAGGAGAAAATTTTAGGGTAGAAAATTTTCCGTCGCTATCCGGATTTGAACCTGGGACCTATTTAATGAGGCGAACACCTTAACCTCTAGGCCACGAGAGCCCCCGCTATCATGTATCAGGAGCCCAGAGGAGGGGGCAAAGGGGGGGCTGATCCCAGACACTTGATTGACTGTATTACTGCAGTCTCACCTGGCTGGTTTTGTTGGAGTGCACGATAAAGTTAAAGTTCATCCTCCTGAAGAGGCTGTCAAGAGCCAGGCGGTCTTTCTGCGTACCATCACGGTCCGACATGTGATCAAATTTCTCGTTGTTGATGAGTATGAGTGACCCTCTTTTCCGGTGTTTCATTTCGTATACGCCTTCCTGAAAGAGGCATTTGAATAAGTTGACATAATTAATAACCCGCCCAAAAAACGTCAACAGCTAAAAGATAACGCAGGCTCAAAAGCACAATAATTATTAGTACCATTATTTTTTTTAATGAATCTTATTCACAAAATTAAGTTTTTTCAGGATGAATCAAAATTCTCTTTTCACAACTGTATCACCATGGTGCGCTTTGGCAAAACGAGATTTACTGGTTACAATATCGAAGTTGTTTTAAGTGTCCAGATAGTTCCAAACTGAAGGAAAAAAAAAAGAAAAAAAAAAGTTTCAGAACTTCCCTGAGAAAAAAGATGAGAGATAAGATACAATAAGATAAGATATAATATAAGATAAAACAATATAAGATAAGACAAGATAAGATCAGAGACAAGACAAGATAAGATATAATATAAGATAAGACAAGATAAGATCAGAGACAAGACAAGATAAGATAAGACAAGAGGTATGATAAGATGATACTTTATTATCACGGTGGGAACTGTGTCTTGGCTGTACAGGACATGGTAAAATCATGTGTAGATATATATGGAATTTAAACTATATATATACAGTCGGACCTGTGTAAGACGGAATCGCAAGGCAGCAGGAAAACAATTCTGTCTTAGACAGGGGAATTTAGGGGGGGGTTCAAAGGCCCAGCCGGTGGGATCAAGGATCGCTTTTCCGATCGGCAAGCAGTGGTCAAAACTTCACACCTCTCAGCTGCTATCCTGTCTGATAGTGACATGCGTCAGTCTTACTGGTCCAAATTCCACCAGTGCTTGCCTTTCATAGGACCACTGTTTGACCTATTAAAAACAGAAACGTTGGAACATCTCCTTTGCTTCCACCCTTAGTCCCACCCACCAATGCCACCCCTCACTGCCATCATTGTAACAACGATTCGAGGAACTCTTTCCTCAGCAGGCCGTACGATCAGGGCGGCAGGCATTGGTCAATCTAATTTCACACCTCTGGCTTCTGGCTACCCAGGAAAGTTTCCGTAGTGGCTCGCTACTCGAGCACTCTCACGGGCAGTCGTGAGATATCACACCCACACTACACTGACCATCTGCAGCGCTCAGTGCTCACATGATGGGGTAACATAGGGTAACTTCTACTCTACCCCCATTGCACCCCTATGAATCCCCTTCCTCGCCCAGCGGCATGGCCATGGCGTTAAGTTTAGAGCAAGGAGATTAAAAGTAGTTCTAAACTCCTTGGTTTAGAGCCGGCGGAACCAAACTTGCGAGTTTTGTTTCAAATCAGGGATGAGCGGACAACGCATTTTCCGTCTCAGACAGGTGAAACCCTCGGAAGGGAGAAGATTTTTCTTTCCGTTTCCCCGTTGGACAGGTTTCCGTTTTATACAGGTAATTAAAGAGGAATATACCAAGGGGGGAGCGGGGAGATTCCGTTAAGACAGGTTTCCGTTTTATACAGGTAATTAAAGAGGAATATATCAAGGGGGAGCGGGGAGATTCCGTTAAGACAGGTTTCCGTTTTATACAGGTAATTAAAGAGGAATATATCAAAGGGAGAGCGGGGAGATTCCGTAAAGACAGGTTTCCGTTTTCTACAGGTTTCCATTAAGGCAGGTTCCACTGTATATGTCAAAACGTGGGGAATCGGGCGCTCGTAAAAACCGTCATCCAAAATCCTATTTACTTGCGTTGCTTTCAAAGAAAAAATAACCATCTGTCTTGAATAGAAATCTAAATATTTCTGATTGAAGAAGGTTGGGCTCACCTGATTTCAGAGGTCAGTTTATTGAGAAAATGGCTGCCAAATTTTGGTAATTTCCATAGCTTGAGAGTGCTTGAGAAATGAAAATTCACAATTTTTTGCGTTCTTAATCAATGGTTTTCAATATAATCCAGACACAAATTTGTTTTTAAATAGACATAACAGGTGTTGAGCCAAAAAACAAAAACTCGATAAAACAATTGCCTAACTGTCGGAAAAATGCTGTTTTCGTCAATTTCATTATTTTGACAAGCGCCTGATTTCACCACACTTCCTCACATATTACTTTCACAAACATTCAAAATGAAGAGAAAAGTAAAGCTGACAATAACACACATATCACATCAGAGGCATCTTTCCACCGCAGGCAGGAATTTGTCACAGACCTTTGGAGTAAACAGACTGTGGTTAGTGTAGAAAAATTGTAGGCAGATTCACTTGGGAATTTTGAAATTTATACAAAGCAAACTTTGAATTCGTTAAATCACTCAGACAGGCTGAATCGGAATCTGAACCTGAATTTTTTCTTTTGAAACATTGTTCTTTCATTCACTGTCAAAAAATGTATTTGTGGAAATAATCCTACAAAAACAATAAGACAACAATAATAATAATAATAGCAATAATAGTAATAATAGTAATAATAAAAATAATAATAAATTAACTGCACTTATACAGTGCATTGGAGCATGCTCAAAAGCAAGCTCAATGTTCTTTACAACTAGTACTACCTATCAATAAATCAATGTGCGCTTTTGTGCACGATAACAAGAAGTCTAGGGAACCCAATGACACCGTAGTGATTGGTCATCGTCTTGACCACAATCTGAATTCCCACTAGCTCACGGCCTAGGTACAGACTGACTGGGGTCTCTCGTGGCCTAGAGGTTAAGGTGTTGGCCTCTCATTCAAAGGTCCCGGGTTCGAATCCGGGTAGCGACCGAAAAATTTTCTTCTCTAAAATTGTCTCC